AGCGGGTAGTGTACAGCATCGATTTCTGTGGAACCCAGTAGCTGTCAAAACTTTCACATTTTTACGAATAACTCGGAAATCGTAAATTTTTCAGGCAAAACGTTTGACACAAACTTAACTTAAATTTTGACGACAAATCTGAAAATGAATGAAAAAAGGGGCAGTTCCATTTAAAAAACCAAAGTTGGTAACTACCACACGTTTATGATACACCCCGTATATTGGAAAATAATTTTAAAATGTGGACCTTTTAAACATGAAAAACTTTCGTAGGACGTATTTTCTTGTAAAGTTCATATTTACTGAGATATCGCACTTTGACGCACTAATGAGCAACCCTGTATATAGAAACCATTTTTACTTCGATATATATGGTAATTGAAGAAACACACTTACATGTTCGGTTATGGAATCTAGCGAGCTAGTTGCTTCGTCGAAAATTAGAATGGGGGAATTCTTCAATATAGCTCGGGCTATAGCCACTCTTTGCTTTTCCCCTCCGGATAATTTAAGCCCCCTTTCTCCCACCTGAGTGTAATATCCTTTCGGCCATCTAACGATAGAATCGTGGATTTCTGCCATTTTAGCAGCTTGAATAACCTTTTTATAAAATATGATTTATAGTAGCCTATCAGTACATTAATCAAATATTCTTTCAAAACAAACGAAGAATTGAAGAAGGTTTAATATAATAAGTCCAAAATGATGAGTAGTTTCTATTCACACACTCCATTTTTTGCTACTTACTTCTTCCTCACTGGCATTCAGGTCTCCATATCTCAAGTTATGCAAGATAGTGTCGTGGAACAACACCGAATCTTGAGGAACGATTGAAATTGACTTGCGTAAACTCTCCAAATCAACATCTTTGATGTCCTGACCGCCAATCAAAATCCGTCCAGTAGATGGTTCGAAAAATCGGTACAAAAGACGAACCAGAGTGGTTTTACTATAAAAAAAAACCTCGATTTTAGTAAGATATTAAGTTAGGAAATATCTAATTAATACCCTGAACCTGAGCCTCCTACAATAGCAATTTTTTTGCCGGGTTCGATTGTTAGATTAAGGCCGTTTAAAATTGATTTGCCGGGTCCGTAATCAAAGCTCACATTCTCAAATTCAATTTTAGACGATTTGGTGTCAACATACAGATATGGCGCTTGTGGCTTATTCTGAAAATTTGTTAGAAATTCTTAGGTTCTATAATAAAATTTTCTATAAATTAACAGTAACTTATTTTTCAGTTTAGTTACAGTGCAAATTTCATTTAGTTTTGGTTTAGTAACACTAAAAATTTACTTTTATTTGAGTATCCATCGACATCAAAGTAAACATGGTTTGCATATCTATAAGCGCCTGTCTTACTTCTCGATAAACACTACCGAGAAAACCTAACGGTATTGATAGTTGGAAGAGAAGACCATTCACCATAACTAGATCTCCTACAGTCAAGTTACCTATAACAGAACGTCATAGTAAAATAACTAAATTCTACCCAAGACATTTCTGAGGCATTGTTACTTACCTTTCAATATTTCATTAGCAGCTAAAATCATAATTCCACTCAAAGCAGCACTGAAAATTGCATTCTGTCCAAAATTCAACAATGCCAAGCTGGTACTAGTTTTTAAGCTCGCATCTTGATACTTTTTCAAAGCTTCATCATATCTGTTGGCTTCGTATCTCTCATTATTGAAATACTAGAAATAAATAAGCAATGCTCTCACTAGTATTAAAATCTTATATCGACAAAGTTTTGCATCTAAGCTATCATAAGTAATGGTCAAAATTTTGCAAGTGAAAGTGATGTATTAATTTAGCGTACAAAAACTACGCCCTTACTCGACAAAACTTAATGTTGACTGTTAGTTGACTAACTTTTACATTTTAAAGCCGTTGTTCTTTAACCTGTAATCCCTTTATCTTGGAAATAACGTTTTTATATATACAGGCAGGATGCGTGAGTTGAAACCAAATCATTTAAAATTGGGGGGTTTGCTTTTTGAAAAACCGCTCGATTTTTCAGCTTTTATTTTTGGCTGCAGTTTTCCCATATTCCTTATGCAAAGTGACTCGAAAATGAACTATTAAGTACTCTCAATTTTGTAATTTTCAAATAAAACATTTTATTTTTCATTATTTCTGCATTGAATTTTAATCTTCATGTACTACATGTGTACATTTCATAAACAGTTTTAATTTACTTTTTTTACTTCTGCATAAAATTTTAATCTTCATGTACTATCTTATTATCTAAACTTCAATTGAGTATACAGGGTGGCCATTTTCTGATTTCTTTGTATGAGTAACTTCTACATTTTTAAAGATATAGAATCCGTTAAATGGGCAAAATTGGGCAGAATTCGATTGCTTATTCATTACCGTTTTCAAAATTTAGGTACCCGACTTGGTTCCTGAAATATTCTGAAAGTCAATAAATCAACACTTTTTTAATTATAACATATAACGTAAACTGCTTAACTTAGAAAAAAAGTTAAAATTGCCCTTGGTAGAACTTTTTGCGGTGAAGCCAACAAACTAGCACTCGTCATAGTCAACTCCATTTACGACAAAAAATAAATTTATGGTTTTTAAATAGTAATCATAGTTGGCTGTGGGCCTTTCAAAATCCTTATTTTTTTCTGAATTTAACGATATAACTGTTTCTATGTTTATCTTTTTTTTTACCGTAAAAATTCAAGGGAACATTAAAAAAGTGTAGTATGATCTGGAAACAAGAAATTTGATGATGGCAATTTAGTGATAAAATTATTGTCCATTCTTTTATAATCGCAATTTAAATAGCAAAAGATATTTACACTTTTTACAAAATGAATTTGAAGACATGTTGGATAGTTTGCCGTTATCAGCGTATCGGAAATTGGCATATTTTCAACATGATGGTGCACCTCCACACAACTCACGAGTTGTATGTGAATATTTACAACAACATTTTCCTGGTTGGATTCCCAATGCAGAACCCATTCAGTGGTCAGCACGTTCACCGGACTTAACACCTCTGGACTATTTTCTGTGGGGTACCCTTAAAAACAAGATCTACATGACAAACCCCAATGATATTGAAGAGCTAGTAAATGGATTACGTCCAGCAATAAGAAGTATCCGTACACAAATCATAAGAAAGGTGTCATTAGAAATTATTAGAAGATGCCAAAAGTGCCTGAACGTAAACGAAAGTCAATTTGAACATTTAATTTAAACGATTCGTTGCTTCATTTTTGTTTTGTGCTTTGTATGATAATATAGTTCTAGTTTCCAGAGCCTACTACACATTTTTAATGTTCTTTTGAATTTTTACGGGTAAAAGAAGAGATAAACATACAAACAGTTATATCGTTCAATTCAGAAAAAAATAAGGATTTTAAGAGGCCCACAGCCAACCATGATTACCATTTAAAAAAAATATAAGTTTACTTTGAATTGTACGTACTTTCCTGACTGTGTTTCAATTCCAAAATTAAAATCAAGTCCTGGGTTCTTCAGTCATTTATTTATTGTTCATTTATCAATTTAAAAAAACGTTTCGGTGTTTTCCACCATCATCAGTTTTAATGTGTAGCGTTGTTGCTACTTTACGCCTTGGCATGTATTTGGAGTATTAATTTTGTCCATTTTGCAACACAAAGCACAAAGCGAAATAAATGACTGAAGAACCCAGGACTTGATTTTAATTTTACTTTGAATCTCGTAAATCAAGTTGACTATGACAACCAGTGCTAGTTTAGTGGATTCAACGCAAAAAGTTCTACCAAGGGCTATTTAACTTTTTTTCTAAGTTACGCAGTTTACGTAATATGTGATAATTAAAAAAGTGTTGATTTCTTGTCTTTTCAGGATATTTCGGCAACCAAGTCGAGTAGCTAAATTTTGAAAACGATAATAAATAGGCAATCAAATTCTGCCCAATTTTGCCCATTTAACGGATTTTCTATCTTTAAAAATGTAGAAGTTACCCATACAAAAGTTCAGAAAATGGCCACCCTGTATATCAATAAATAAAACCTTTGGTATCACTTTTAATTAAAAGAATATTTTTTTGTGACTTAAGCGGTCCAATAGCTTCGTAAATCGTAAGCAATTATTTACCATCAAAATAAACGTACGTAACGATAAAGCCGCCTATCAGAGTTTTTTCCAAACTTTTTTCCAACGATCACTTCCGATTTGTAAATGAATTTGTTTCAACTTTTCTCGTCTTTAATGTACTCGTATGTTAGATGCTGAGTTTGCATCAAAATATAGTAATTGATGTCAACTCAAGCATGATACTTACCTTGACTGTCTCATAGTTAATTAGCGAATCAATAGCTTTGTTGCCAGCCTCATTTTCCGCTTTGTTCATAAAGATACGAAATTGTGTTCTCCATTGCGTTACTGCTAATGTGAATGCTGCATAAACTCCCACACATCCAAGGGATATACCTAAAAATACAATTAACTCAATAGATATTTGGTTAATACCGGACATTAACAAGCAAAATATTAGCTTGTATTGAAGCAACAATATTTATTTAAATTCTACTCTAAATATTTTGCTTTATGTTTAGTATTGAATATTTACCTGCAAATGCCGCACCGCATTTTATCCCAAGTATGCTAGAAACCAGTGCGAGTTCAAATATAGTGGGTACAACATTGAAAACCATGGCTGTTAGTACGAAGTTGATACCCCTTGAGCCTCGATCGATGGTTTTAGACAGCGCACCTAAAAAAAATGAGAATGCATGATCTAAATATCTAATTAAGAAGTGAAGTAAAACGTACCAGTTTGACGACTTAAGTGGAAGGACAGGTCTAAATTGTGCAAATGCAGGAAGACGTTTTTAGCAATCTTTCTTATGGAATGTTGAGCCACTCCGGCAAAAACTGCATTCCTGAGTTCGTTAAATCCAAGCGCACCTGCTCTAGCTATGCCATCTAAAATACAAATTGCATTTTAGAACAATATAAATCTTAAATTTTGATTTCGCAAAAAACGAAAGTTTCCTAACAAATCCAACAACCTTGCCTTTTGAATAAGTATAAAATATATAATAATAATACATATAAATAGAACTAACTCTTCTGTAAGTCGATACTTCAGCTACTTACATCCAAGTAGAATACTTGTAGCCACCGTGGCGACTGTTTCTGGAGCAGAACCCATATTTAAAACAGATCCGGTATGCAGATTTAGATAATCAATAGAATACTTGAATATGAATGGAACACAGACATTGATCAATTTTGCTCCTATCAGTAAACCCACAGCTAATTTAACTCTGCAAAAAAAGTGTAGTATTAAAACCAACCGTTTTAAATGTAACACGTATGACGATACGGTGCAACAACATGTAGTGCAAGAAAATACTTATAATTTTTGTGATTTACAATGCAATTTTTAAAAACGAGCTAGAAAATTTAAAGGTGACTTGGAGAACAGAAGGAAGGTTTTAATATTACATTCTACTCGTGTTTTTCTAGAAGAATTTATGTGCTTTCTATGCATATCTAGTTTATTTACTTGCTAACTTTAATCATTTTTAGTTTATATATCAGTTACAGCTTATCAGGACATAACAAAAAAATGTTGAAAGGAAATAATTAGATTGAACTTCCATATATTGTTCACTTGAAAACATTGTGGCTTGACACAAAACAAACGCTTGACCTGGCATTTAATAAAGCAAATATTGACTTACTTATCTCTGATCTCTTTGTTGTCTTTTGGCCAAATATACTGTAACATGGCACCAATCATTTGCATGCCAGTTACAGGCTCTCCACCATTGAATGAAATGGTGTCTCTGGATAGGGCTGATGCGCCTGGATGAAAACATCCTCTGGCTGGTTGGCTAGTTGGTAAACTGGCAGGGCCTTTATTTAAAACAAGTGACAATACCGCAGCACTCACTTTCGCTGGGGTTTCCTTCTCATTATGTGAGGTTGTCGACTAGAATAACCAATAAAACAGACATGCTAAAAGGAGCCACATTTGTCAATGAAGTACCTATTTTAAGAAGATAAACAATAAAACTGTAAATCTGTCTCAAATTTGCTGAATATATGTTGTGCAACTTTTATCAACAAAAACAACTACTCAAAATAAGAAATATTACGTAAGACTTACCCTCTGTTGGTGGTAAATCGCTGGTATTTGCGTGGCAAGAACATTGCGTTTTGTCGTTAATAAACTGAAATTTCGTGTATTTATTGAAGACTTTAAATAAATTTGGAACAATTTTAAATTAACCTCACTTAAAAGTAAAACAGTCGCCATGATGGGTCAAGTAAACTACTGTCAGTCTCCAGCCGTAAAAACACGAACTACAAGTGTGTGCTGCGTTTGAGCTACTCAGCACTGAAATAGCAACTGGCAACGCTGAAATTTCTACTTGGGATTCACATAAAGTTTAAGGATATTCTACGTCACAAATGCTAGAAAGTAGCTTCAAAATTAGTCTTGATAAATTTAACAGCAAAAATTAATAAAAATAAGTTGATTCAACATTTATTTGACAACATTTATGTTTGTTTAGTAAATTGATTTAATCGTTAATTAATAAATTATTATTTACTGGTTAGCTATAATTTAGAGATTTTATTTTCAATAAAAATTTGGACAAATATGTATTTTAATCTTGGAAACACCTTCGATTTTTGTTGTTAAAAATACCGATCACACAGAGGTTTTCCAATATGTTGGGAACATGTTTCTTAAATCACCACCGGATTTTAAAAATACAACTGTACGTACATCAAAAAATGCACATTAATTTCCTGATTAAGGAACATACTTAAAATATTTGTATTTATATGTATTCAAATTAAAAGACTACAAAATAAATAAGATAATATATTACTTACCTTAATTTTTTTTTTTTCTTCTGCGCCTTCAAATATGGAACACGTTTCGAATAATTCTAATAACGTAAATCTTTCTTTGCTTTTATTATGCAAAAATAGTATTCGTTTTTACTCGTAATTTCATGGCGTAAACAGAATCGTAAGATTCATTGCTATTATTATACCGTCCTCATTTTTCACAATAAGTTCGAATGTGCAGTTATCTTCTTTTATAACTTCAATACATTTTTTCAGACAACGGAATTTTGCTATTAAGTAGATTTGCTCATTTTAATGCGATCAACTAGCAGGAGTGGCCGAAATTCATCCGAAAATCCTAAGAATAGTTCCTACAAGGCAATAAACGGCAAGCCATTTCCCAAAGGTTTACTGATCGCGCTTAATATGTAGCGATTAAAACACCCAATTCAGACAGATTTTAATGAATCTCCTTGATTTATTTAAGGTGGTTTCTTCCCTTTTCCAAAGCACAGATCTCTGTTCGAACAATAATTTTTAATGCGAAGTTTACGAAGCAAGTTAATTAATCGAAGAATCTTGATCTTCAACTTTGCAAAGTTAAAGTTAAGCTTCAATAGTTAAGGTTCAAATAAGCTTTTAACAATGGCGGTAACAAGAAATTGCATGGCCCCAAAAGATTAAATTTGCACGAAAATCGAGCCAAGTTTTTATCAAAAT